CCCCCCCCCAGGGCCACCCCTCCCCCCTCTCTGGGAGCCATGTGGACCGGGATCGCTGATCTGATGGGGAGGGAGCGGAGTTCTCCTTACCTCTCCCCACTTCCTCTGGGGGCCCAGCACGTTCGATCTCAGATGTGCGGCAGTGTGGATCCCTCCGCTCTAGGTTTTCACTGTCTGGGATTCCGTTGTTGGTCTGTGGCTGTTGCTTTTGTTGTATCTTGTGGGGGAAGAGTTCACGGGAAAGCTCACTCCGCCATGATGCTGACATCACCTCCCTGTTCTCTGTGAATTCTAGTGTGAAAGAATGACAATGAAAATATCTCTTCACTGGAAAGCCAAACGTCTTTCCGTGCCTTGCACAGCACTTTGCGCTACTGTCAACGCACTGCTTCATGCCCTCACTCACATTCCCAGTAACGCGCTATCAGGAATCCTCTCCTACCGCGGCGGGACCTGAGGCTCCCAGGGAGTAAAAGTGATCTCTTAAGGATTTACATGGGCAACACGGTGACCAGCGCTTTTCCTATCAGGAGGCAAGGAGGTGTTGCTGCCCCGTTAGCATGCTCTTTAGACAAAAGGTTCTTCGATTTTAAGAAAAATCAGACCCTGACCAGCCACCCCAGATCGCCAAGGTGAAAGCAGGTGACCGTGTCTACACGTTTAAGAAGCAAAAACTCCATCTCCTGGTGGCACTTACCCCGCCACAGGGGCAACGGGGGCTGCGTTGGTGCAGCTGGTATTGAGCAGAGCAGCTGGGTCAGCCCTGCGCTCAGAAGGGACGCGCGTGGGAGAGGGGTCAGCAAGGTACCGCATCGGGAATCCAGGACGCCTCCCGCCGCTGGGGGCGGGGGGCGGGGGGCGGGGAGGAGATGAGGTGGCTCAGGCAGGGAACCCCCTACCCCGGCAAGGTGCTGGGGCCAGCTTTGGGTCGGGGCTCTTTAGAATTTGAATTGGGAGTTCTAACCCGGCCGCCTGCAGGGTGGGGAGGGGATCCCTCCTGTCTGGGGGCCGCAACCAAAGCCTCGCTTTCCGCGAAGCCGGGGCGCCGCTCGGCTCTCGATTGCTCGCGTCTGGCGGCGGCGGGCGGCGCTCGCGGCGGCGGGGGCTCTGCGCTCGAGGAGTCGAGCCTGCCGCACCGGCGGCGGCGAGCAGGGCGGCGGTCCTACGCCTCGGGCGGGGGCGGAGGCCGCGGCGCCGGCGCGGGGATGTCGAGGAGCTCGAAGGTGGTGCTGGGCCTCTCGGTGGTGCTGACGGCGGCCACCGTGGCCGGCGTGCATCTGAAGCAGCGGCAGGACCAGCAGGTCGGTGTCACGTGACCGTCTCTCCGCGGGCCCTCCGCGCGGTGCCCCGGGCCTCTCCTCCTGTCGGGTCCTCGCGGCGCGGCCCGGCTTCTCCACGCCTTCCCGCTGCGGCCCTGCCGCCGCCCGCTCAGCCCTGGGCGCTGCAGCCCGCGGCCGCGTGCGTCTTCCGGGCCCGGGGGGCCCGGCCCTCCGCGCCGAAGTCACCTGGCTCCGCCAAGGCGCGCCCGCGGGTGCTCGGCGGCCCTGCCTTCAGGTCGCAGGCAGCTTGCGGGGATAGAGACCTTCCAGCACCTCATTTGGGCCGCTGGAAAGTAGAGGCGGGGAAGGGTTTCTTTGGGGTGCACCCAGCAAGTTACCGGCCTCTCTCTACCCTCAGGCCCAAGATTAGGTTTTGGTATCTTTAAAAGTTAATAAGGTTTTATCCCATGAAAAAGAAGGCGTCCCCGCCTTCGCCGTCGTGCTTTTTTGGCCAAGGTAATTTGGTGAGATACTTGGTTTTTCTTTTCTTTTTTTAAGGAACACTTTGCTATGGAAACTAGATTCAGGGAACACTAGAGATACCAGCCTCCCAATTTTCTCTTTTCAGTACTTTTATTTCTGGAAATATCCGAGACTTACCGATCAGTGGACTGACCGTACGTTCTGTTTCTCAGTTCACATTTTCTTTCTTATTCAATTGGCAAACATTTAAGGACTGATCACTGTGTGCCAGGCACCACACTAGGCACTTTGGGAAACAAAGATGAGGAAGCACAGCTGCTCCTGAGACTAAATGATTCAAAACAGTGCTGGGTGTTGAGTGTGAGAAGGAGCAACTAGGTCGTGGGTGAAGTTTCAACACCTTGGTGAGGGATTGGGGTTTAGCCTAGTTTGCCAAGGGTGGAAGTAATGGACTGGATGAATCAATAGTGAACAGTTTTTTTTGCACTGGACGGTCTTCTGTGCTTGGTATACAGAGGTGAAGCACATGAGGTCTAGTCCTCGCTGTTCAGACTTTGGAAATCAAAGAGGAAGCCTGCGATGATACAAAAATTTTGAGGAGGGCGTAATGGGAGACTAATGATGAAAGGGCATGGAAGAGATTAGAGATTTGGGATTAAAGTACAGGTTCTAAGGGGGTAGCATTTGGAATAGAGGCAGGAGACTTCTTCCTCTAGGAAAGAAAAGACTGTGATCTTGAGAAAATTTGAGATGGAGTGGAGGATAGTATGTCAGATGTAGCTCTGAGGTCAGCCAATGCAGGGACTTTTAAAGGGTACGGGCTAGGGATGAGTTAGAGCTTGGTTCTGAACCCTAGCTACACATCCCAATTCCTGGGTAGTTTTTACAGTGCAGCTGAGGCTGGGCCCTACTCCAGACCTATTAAACAGCATCTCTAGGGCATGGGGATCCAGCTTAGCTTTGTTTTAAAATTGACTCACGGGATTCTAACATGTAGCCCAGGTTGAGAACCACTGTGTTAGAGAGTGGAACAACAGGAGGATTTAGGTATTTGGAAGTTAGAGATGAAGAAAAGATTGACCAGAATAGTGTGTTTACTTTACATCCAGTTGTTCATGTGGGTGGGCTTACTTCCTAGCAATGGGAAAGAGTAGGACAAAAGATTGAGGGGCTGGCCCGGTGGCGTAGTGGTTCGGTTTGGGGCACTCCGCTTCAGCGGCCCGGGGTTTGCGGCTTCAGATCCCAGGCGCGCGCCTACAGCACTCATCAAGCCATGTTGTGGTGGCGACCCATAAACAAAGTAGAGGAAGATTGGCACAGATGTTAGTTCAAGGCCATCTTCCTCACCACAAAAAAACATTGACATGTTGGAAGTTTCAAGGAAGCAAGAAATAAAAGAATGATTGTTGTTTCCTGTTGTTCTTGACTGTCTACGACATGCCAGGTACTGTACTCTATGTACATCATCTTTAATCCTTACAGGAACCCAGCAAAACAAGTGGTACTGCGGGAGGAGCCAGAGTTCTAGGTGTTAGAGTTGTAATAGTGAGGAGGTCTTGGTGGTTAGTAAGCGAGGCGGTTAGTAAGGTAGTTAAGTGGAAGTCCCAGGAGGGATGTGCGAGGCAATCACAAAGACATTGAAACTTGGAGGAAGATAGCAGATGATGGATGGAGAGCAAGATCCTAAGCCATGTGCTAAAGTGTCTGAGAAAGGAAGGGTAGGATCTCAGAGGCAGGTGTGGAAACAGTGATTCCAGTGGGTGTGGACTTTGTGGGGGGGGGTGCGGTGGGGTGTTGTAGGTGTGTCATGGTGTAAGGAGCCCAGGACAGGAAGAAATGGGGAGGGAGGAGTGGAATGAGTGTCTCCATTTCTGTCTCTGGAGATCTTGCCAAGGGTACAGAGTTCAAGAAAGTTGGTTTTCAGCTGTGTTATCAGTCCCCGGACTCTTAAATTTCCCAAGTCCCCCATGATAGCAAATGAAGTTCTAGGCCTGGAGGAGGTCCAGCAAGTAGGTACTTGGTGAGTTTTTAAATAGACATAATAATTTTAAAAAAATGCCCCAGCCCCACTCCCATTAATTCTACCTCACAAGGCCACTGTTAAAAACTTAATAGAGTGTTTTGTGACCTATAATCTATAAAGTGTTAATTACTAGTAATGACTGGATTGATGCTTTAATAAGTCTCATCTTAGGTGCCAGGTCCACGTTCTGGAATTTTCTACCTGTCTTTAGTGCTTATCAAAGTAACTACCGTTGACGGGCCTTTATTTTTTCTTCTGGTAGTAGCATTATTTTTTTCCCTTCTCTCCTTCTTATGTAATTGATTAGTAATTCTGAATAATTTTTACTTTTTCTCTTTACATTCTGGGGGGACGCCAGTTTTTTTACTTTCTTGCTTCCTTACAGTTTGTTCAAGTTTTAGTAATCGTCTTTTTTCTTTGATGTTTATTATTCAACTAGGGTAATTGCTAACAGGAAAGTAGTTCAGAGTTGCTGTAGTATCTCATCAAGTTTTTAAAGCATCCTCTATCAAACTTTTAAAATTCAGTATAGTGGCAGTTTTTTCTCTTTTAATTGTTATTTCCCATTAAGTTTTCTATACTGAATGTTCAGGAATTTCTTAAAATATGATAAGTCATTTCAGTAATAACGCTATAGCACAGTACCCAGTTAATTTGATGGTTTCTTTGTTACATTTTACATTTATACAGAAAGTTACAGTAGTAACTGGGTATTTGGAATCTGAAGGTTTTAGGTGTATTTTGGTAACACTGTTGTTTGGATTTGGATGGCACAAGGATGGGAACCACCTGGTCTGGGTGTTACTGAAATCTGTTGCTTACGTTTTTAGAGGCTTCGTGACGGAGTGATCAGAGACATTGAGAGACAAAATCGGAAAAAAGAAAACATTCGCCTTTTGGGAGAACAGATTATTTTGACTGAGCAACTTGAAGCAGAAAGAGAGAAGATGGTATTGGCAAAAGGATCTCAAAAAACATGACTTGAAATGAAAGGGAAAAATCGATGGGACAGACAGCGTTAAGTGTGTGTGTGAGTGTGTTGATGGAGAACAGCTTAGAGAAATTTCAACCTTGTTTTTGTCACTGTCTTTTTAAACTTGATCAAAAAAAGGACAATGGGTCATATATTTTAAATGATTGCTTTAAAAGTCTCCTATATCTGAGTAAAGAAGTGGGCAGACACTCTTCTGAAGAGTTTCCGTTTGTGTGATCCTGATAGAAGCCGCTTTAAGCTTGGTGTCCAGAGCTTAGGATTGTTCCTGAGAAGCGCTTCTGCACCTGTGAGAAGGAAGGGATGGATAGTAACGTCCACCTGAGTGGTTTGATAAGTCGGCACGATGATGAAGCCACTAGAACATCTACCTCAGAAGGACTTGAGGAGGGTGAGGTGGAGGGGGAGACTCTGCTGATTGTTGAGTCGGAGGACCAGGCATCAGTGGACTTGTCTCATGATCAGAGTGGGGACTCCCTCAACAGTGACGAAGGAGACGTGTCGTGGATGGAGGAACGGCTGGCCTACTTCTGTGACAAGTGCCAGAGATGGATACCGGCCAGTAAGGAGCTTCTCATTTCCTTTGATTTGTCAGTTCCTATGTGCAGGTTTGTTTTTCTAACCTGTGAAAGAAATGTGAATGTAAAACAGACCTAAGTAAAAAGATAATTATTATATTTATTATTAGTTTAGTTGAATAATTACAAATTTATATAAAACATAGACACATTTGTACTAATAAAAATTACTGTCAACCTCTATCATGTTGTTAAATTAACATTCTTGATGGTAATCCAATAAAAATTAGAAAGTTGGAAATCCTCTGTTACTTAAAGACTTAGTCACATTTTTCTTCCAAGATCACGTTGTTATGGATTTGGGGCCAAATTCTGGGCCGAGTGTAGAATTAAAGGTCAAGTTCACAAAAATTACTCTGTTAATATTTAACTTAGGTGGAAAACTCCTGCTGTTGTATGCTGAAGTGAGGTCAGAATTAGCAGATTAAAAGTGTTTTGTGCCCTTTTTCTAGGACCGTTCTTGTTTCCTACTTGTTGGCCTCCTTATCTACTTCGAGAGGCACATACTTACGTGCCCCCTTGACACCTCAGTGTTTCAGCTCCATCTTTTAGCTGCCAGCTTCTTAGCTCTCAGGGAGTATGCTTTGCCAGCCATCATGAGACTTACCAAAACAGGATTTTTCCATTAGGCAGAGACTAATAAAGACATATGTACTGGAGGAATACTTTGTGTAATAGAATTCGTAACTAGATCAGAGAAATTTTTATATATAATTGTGAAGTGGGTCGTTTTCTGTTACGTGGAAATGTTTTCAAGATGGATTCATCTATTCAGATTAATATTAATAGATAACATTTTCACAGAAAACAAACCTAGATTTTATTACATATTAGCTAGTTGTTGCTTCCGAGCTGTCTCTGCTTATTAATTCAGGGTTCTGCCTGAAAATCTCAGTGGCTTTCCGCTTGTCCTCGCAGGGTCCGTTTTAAACTGTCCTTCATGATCGGCCCCTGCTAACTTCTTCAGCCTCTCCTTAGTAGCCTCCTATCCCCACATATAAACAGAACTTTGCAGTTAGGATGAGCTTTTTCTCACCACAAACAATTCTTTGTTATCCCTAAGACTTTGCACATTTTAATTTCCTCTCTGGGCTATGCATCTCTATAGCCTCCATCCCTCCCCCCATACACACAAGTGCCTCTCTTCACCCGGCCAATTCTAGTCATCCTTTGGGTCCCCTGTAGACCCTACTTCTTCCTTCCTAATATGTGTTGGGTACCTCTTTTATGTGCCCTCACGTTGCCCTATGGCACACATCACATTCCACTCCAGTGGTTTTCATGTCTCCCAGAGTGTCAGCATCACCTGGGAACTTTAAAAAAAAAGCAGAGACTCAGGCCTCACTTTCAGAGATTGATTCATTTTGTGTGGGGTAGGTCCAGGCATGTTTAAAACAAAAACTGTGCGTGATGCTGATGCACAGTGAGGAGGGAGAATCACTGTGCTCTTGTGATTACCTGTTTCCCTGTATGTAGCCCTCACAGAATTTGCAGGTACTATGTCTGTCTTGGGTGTAGTATTCCTGGTTCCTAGCCCACTGCCTGGCACAGTGGGAGCTCAGCTATTTTTTGAATGAATATGTGAAGAGACTTCCTATAGGAATCAGGAATGTTAACAGTTGGAATGTCCAATGAGAGCAATAATACCTGCTTTTAGTATCTCTCTCCCAAAAGTTAGGGAACCACAGATCGATCTTAAGTCGGCATACGCTTGATGTTGGAAGAACAAAAGTCTCTACTCCTTTCCCCATCCACCTCCTGCTCTCGTGGATTGGCTGAAAAAAAGGAAAGATGCAGCATAGGAAACTTGAAAATCTGGTTGATAAACTGATCGCACCTTTGAGTTACCGCTGCTCAAGATACACCTGTGATGTGCCTTTTTGTTTTTCTCCTAGGTCAGCTGAGGGAACAGCTCAGTTACCTTAAGGGTGATAATTTTTTTAGGTTTACTTGTTCTGATTGCTCAGAAGATGGCAAGGAGCAGTACGAAAGGCTGAAGCTGACATGGCAGCAAGTGAGTAAAAAGCTCTTCCTCTGGAATTCATGATGTTGGTCCCCCAAGGAATTTATTGGAGTAAATATCTAGAGGATGAGGAGCTGACGTATGAGCTTTTGAATTGTTTTGAGGGTCACTTTATTTCACGATGTATATCATACTGAATACTTGGAGAAAGGAGTTCTTGGTAAAAATACTTGTTGCTAACTTAGTGAATTGGGTTCAAGATTTCTTGAAAATCTCACCACGTGATTTCATTTATATATAATACAGTAGACACCCCTTAGCCAGGCCTGGTGGCCCAGTGGTTAAGATTTGGCACTCTCACTGTTGTAGCCCAGGTTCGTTTCCCAGTCAGGGAACCACACCACCTGTCTGTCAGTTGTCATTCTGTGATGGCTGCATGTTGCGGGGATGCTGAAAGCTATGCCACCAGTATTTCAAATACCAGCAGGGTCACCCATGGTGGACAGGTTTCAGTGGAGCTTCCAGACTCAGACAGATTAGAAAGAAGGACCTGGCCACCCGCTTCCAAAATGACTGGCATGAAAACCCTGTGAATAGCATCGGATCATTGTCTGCTATAGCACCCGAAGGTGAGAGGATGATGCAGAAAGACCAGGCAGGGTTCCGCTCTGCTGTACACAGGGTCACTAGGAGTTGGAATCGACTTGATGGCACTAACAGCAACAACCAAGTCCCCCCTTATCTGCGGGGATACATTCCACGACCCCTGGTTGATGCCTGAAATCGCAGAAAGTACTGAACTCTATATATACTATGTTTTTTCCTACACACACATACCTGTGCTAAAGTTTATGTTAGGCACAATAAGAGATTAACAGCAATAACTAATAATAAAATAGAACAATTATACAATATACTATAATAAAAATAGATCTCAGCAACCTCAGCATACGATTTTTTTCTTTCCTTGTTAAGTTGAGAACTGTCACCTTCCCTTTGGCTTATCCAAATTGCCTGCATCACTGCTCTTACGCTTTGGAACCATTATTAAGTAAAATAAGGGTTACTTGAACGTAAGCACTGCGATACCAGGACAGTTGATCTGATAACCGAGAGGGCTACTGCATGACTAAGGGGCGGGTAGTGTGTACAGCATGGGCACACTGGACAAAACGATGATTCATGTCCCAGGTGAGATGGAGCGGACGACTTGAGATTTCATCAAATTACTCAGAACAGCATGCAATTTAAAACTTAGGAATTGTTTATTTCTGGAATTTTCCATGTAATATTTTTCTACTGTGAGTAATTGAAACTGCAGCTAAGGGGAGACTACTGTACCAAACTGATTTTAATTGAACAGGTTCACATTTTTCTGGGAGCCATTTTTAGAACAATAAAACCATTTTTAAAAACGTGAAGATGGCCACCTTGGAAATAGATTTGGAAGATGTAATGTGGCTGATTGCAGAGACCAATATAATCCAGGTTTTCTGCGTTTGACCTCAGATATGTTTGAATATTTTTTGTTTGATGAATATTTATGTCCACTTTTAACCATCTTCAATACCAACACCCTAATGCAAGCCAACTATAGCCTGAATGATAGATTTTAACTAATCTCTGGGTTGTATTAATTTTTTTGGTTTTGTTTTTATATTAATATGTCTATAACAAGACACCAATGTATATACAGTCTTTAAGTTCTAAAAACAAATAAATTAGAAGTTACTCGGTTTTTATGTTTATTCATTCAACAAATTTTGAGTGCCTATGGTGACACAGGCACTATTCTAGGCCTGGAGACTACTGTGGTGGATGAGACAGCTAAGACCCCTGCCCCAGGCAGCTGACATTCTAGACACTTATTTTAGACAATAAGCAGACAGACAAACAAGTTAATACCCATAGCACTTTTTGCTATGAAGGAAGTAAACAGGGTGATGAGAAGGAGATGCTAGATTATACTGTCTAAGCCACTTAAGGTGTTCCTTGTAAATTGTAGTTGTGTTAGTAGCCTTAGACTATTATCTTAATTATCAGTGCTTTATTAGGACATCTCCTAATGAAATCTGTCAGCGGTGAATTTAGGGAGCGTTTTATGACTTGCCTGAAAATATATAAATAGAAAATGAAGGGAAGTTTGTGTTGAGGATATAGTCTCATGAATATTATAATTGGGATTTTTTTCCAGGCGTACATGGGATACTGTGTGTAGGCAAGGTCAGATTAATACTAATAGGTTATTCTCATGTGTGCACACATAAACAGATTTGCATTTGGTCTGGAAGTAGCTTCTCATAAAACTGTAAAATGGAAGATGAGCAAATACATGTTATTTTCAAGAATATGAGTTTTCTGTGGAGGTTCTTTTTTTGAAAGAAAAGATGGCTTTTGATTATATTGCTCAGAATATGTAATATTGGCTCAATTTGCACATTAGACTAGCATCACTTAAAAATTATTTTTTCACTTCCAAAAGACGTGGTGGTGGTGGATAGTACCCTGGTAACGATGAAGTAAGTGATGACTTAGATCAGACGCATGGTTCTTGGCAAACTGCTGACCAGTGTTTTTAACTGCCTCTGAAAAACCCAGTCTCTCATGAAAGAGCTGAAAGAGAATCAGTTGGTCTTGAATAGATCTATATACTTACTTTATTGGAATGTGGATTTTCTATCTATTTAAATCTTAAACTTTGTATTTGTTGATTTATCAAAGCAATAAGTAAAAATGCTTGTTTGTATTACAAAATACCAGCAGTAAAGAGGTCTGGTCTCCTGACTAAAAGGCCCTTTTTCCCACTCTCTCTGTGTCTTCTCTTCCTCCTTGGTGACTTGTGAACAACGGTTTGAAATGTAGGAGAAGCTATCAAGTGTTTGGGAAGGATAGGGTAGTTTTTACATTCTTGTCCTGGACACTCATTCTTACATTGCAGAATAAAGCTGCCACAACCTGTGCTCGTTGTTTTTCTAGGTGCTCTTCAGTAAATACTGGTGAAGTGCCTGCTGTGGCTGTGCCAGCCCTGAGCTTGGTTCACCTGGCTGGCCTGTTACTTAGGAGCTTGGTCTGGTAGTGTGAGAGGAGAAAACTAAGCTGGGATTCATTCTTTTAGGTTATAAATTCCAGGAGAGAAGGAAAACTCTGTCCTTCGTATATTAAATTTGTAGTTTACTCAGTATATATTGTGGTAATAGGACAAGTTATTTTCAAGCAAATATGTGAATTTTAGCTTTTTTAAAGTCATAAAATGTTTCAAATATAAAAAAATGGTACTGGAAATAAAATAACATGCTTATCTATTGACCACTGAGATTAACAGTGAATATGGTTCTGAGGGACTCCAGGAGTCAGAGTGGGCAGAAGCACCTCATTTCATTCTTTCCTTAAAGTATTTCTTGAACAATAACTTTTTAAAATTGTAGTAAAAATACATAACAAAAGTTAATCATTTTAACATGTACAATTCAGTGGCATTAAATACATTCACATTGTTTTGCAACCATCACCACCATCTCCAAACTTTATCTTCCCAAACTGAAACTCTGTATCCATTAAATAATAACTCTCTGTGAAATAACTGTTTAAAGGAAGATGTTGGTTGGCTAATGTAGACCTGATGCAAACATAAGTGGAAGAATGTGAAAAATCTGTTCCTGGGTTAATTGTTTGGTAGACCATCTGCAGTTTTGCAAGTTTAAGGATGGGGGAAATTGAAACTCGAGGAGTAGAAGCTTCAGCACTACCAGGCCCTTTGGAGTGGTGTGGTCATAGGTCTTCTCGTGAGATCATGGGGATTTAATGCTGTGAGCACAGATGGCGGGGCAGGAATTGCAGTTTAGTAGACTCCTTATAGTTCAGGACACCCCTTCTGGAAAGAAGAATTATTTAAGGATTCTTTTCTTAGATTCTCCGTTCTCTTTTCAATTTTGTTGGCCTAAAATCAATCATTTTTATTAGGTTGAAAACATGGTTCTGAATAGCTTATATAGTTTTGTCCCTTTACATAAAATTACATAATTACAAAATTGTATACAGATACAAAGAGAAATATCTGAAAAGACAGTCACTAAAAATGTTAAAAGTAATTATTTCTTTGTGGATTTAAAGTGATTTTTATTTCTTCTTTGCTGTTTTCTCTATTATTGAAGTCTTTTACAATGAGCGTGTGTTATTTATATTTCTGGAAAATGCCTCCCCATTTGGCACCATGAATTCATTGCCTGTGGAATAACAAGATTGGACTAGATGAGGAGTTTTCACGTTGACCTCTGGGAATGTCTTGGAGCCCTCTGAGAATGGGCCGAGCGCCAGGCCCTTCAGGTCCCTGCCCCTCCTCTAATGCTGTTATCTGAATGAAGGTTTCCACAGCTAAAAATGGCTAAACACTGAGTACATGGTATCTAACGTTATTTTCAGCTCTGAAATCTGCGAGTCTTGTTTCTGCCTTCTGAAGAGCTTAGGAAAGTATCTGTGCAGGGGTGATTTTCAAAATATTTAATAAAGGTTAGTGCTGCCAGTCAGAAACAGGGTCTGCGGAGCACCTGGAGACCTCCTGAGGGCCAGGAGTTAACACTCTGTAGTGCTGCATTGTGAATGAGGGAGGGATACTGGGATGGGGGTTGCTTAGGACTGTAGTTATTTATCACCATCAGTTCCACCACACATCAGCCCTGCAAACGTAACATGTAAGGAACAACCAGGTATACTGAATGGATTAGTGATATTCAACTAATGAAAGCAAAAAAGAAAAAATTCTATACTGAGACTATTCCAAGATATTATCCTTCCTTTTTCCCCCTCCATCCCGCACCATTCCTACTCAGAAATAAAACAACAGACTTCCCCTGAAGATTGACATCTCTAATCAAGCTCTTCTCCCAGCCCTTGTGTCCTCTGTGTTTCAGGTTGTCATGTTGGCGATGTACAACTTGTCTCTGGAAGGAAGTGGACGTCAAGGTTATTTCAGATGGAAAGAAGATATCTGCGCTTTTATTGAGAAACACTGGACTTTTTTATTAGGGAATAGGTAATGTGGCTGTTAAAAATCTTTACTTGAGTGAAGATTTAAAGAACGAGGTATATGAGATTTGAGACAGCCTAATGCAGCCCCTTAGAGAATGAGTATTTACTTGTGGCAATTACAGAGAATTTTTTAATCCAGAAAATGTTGTTACTTTTTTTTTTTTTTTTTTTTTGGTGAGGAAGATTGTCCCTGAGCTAACATCTGTGCCAGTCTTCCTCTATTTTGTATATGGGACACTTCCATAGCATGGGCTGATGAGCGATGTGTAGGTCCACGCCTGAGATCTGAACCCACAAACCCCAGGCTGCTGAAGCAGAGTGCACGAACTTAACCACTGCACCACCGGGCCAGCCCCTGTTGTTACTTTTTTAGGTTAAAAAACTTGTTTATGAAAAATCAAAGTGGAAGCATATGCTATTAAAAGTGTAGGTTTCTATACTTCTCTCATCCTAATTCCAGAGGATGCTTCTACTGAGCATGAAGAGATTTCTAAGAGATTCTTATAATGTTAAGAAATAAAGTTTGATTAAATTAGGCTGCTTAATAGTTGGATGAGTGACTAATTTGAGGATATAGAATTATTACGTCTTTAAAATCAGTGCCTTATAGGAGGTCAGCAGCAAGAAAAATAATGGCAGTTATTGACTGCACCATTTGTCTTATGTTATTAGTATTTGTTTTTACTAACTGGAAGGTAGAAACTGTTCTATACTTTTTGGTATTATTCACAGTGCTTCACAAAGTCTAGGCACATTAAGACTCAACATGGTTTATTCATTCGTTATTCTTCACAATAATGCTTTGATTTTGCCGCTGAGTGCTTCTCCTCGGTGACTGCTTTGGTTCATCAGATTTAGGGATGCTAGTGCACAGGCATCAAGACCATATGTTTTAAGTAAAGGTCCATGTGGATCTAACAAGATTTTTATTGCTGTTAGGGATTAGTGAGTTTGCAATTGCATTGGCGAATTCTTTGAGATTCTGATTGTTGCTGTCTGAAGTCCTGTGTGAGATTCATAAATCTTGCATAATTGGGTCAGTGTAGACTTGATAAAGGCTCTAATCACATCAGGTCAGAGCACCTGTCCTCGCTCTGAACTCATGGCAGCCTCTGTTTCTTTGGATGCTGAGAGGTCTTGGCTCCACTAGTGTTGCTGAGAAATCAGGGAGGTTCAGTCAAAAGGAGGGGCGACCTTCTAGAGGTTTGCTGTGAGGAGAAAATAGAATAGATTCAGTACATTTTTACAAAAGGAGTTATTTTTGGTTTTGAGTTATTTAGTGGTACTAAGAAAAGAATTGACAGTATAACTCGTTCTTTTTCTTAAAGAAAGGAGATCTCTTGTCTTAGTTTAATGATTTAGCACTATTTATGGAACTTAACATACCCCATTTATAAGGCACAAGAAAGGGAGAAAACTGATAAAATTAGATCTTGGAATGTTTTCATGATCTCTCAGTGCTGTTCTGTTTAGTGGATTGTCTTCTGGAAGAAATTGGATTTAAATTGCTTGTTTTTAAGGATATTGCCATATTTTAACAAAAGTTGTTCAGTTATTTCATTTGTTCGTTTCTAAAGTGTGTTCTGAGAGGAATCAGCTAAGGCTTTTTTTCTTTTTAATACTTCTACTGAACGGCATTAATTACTCTCCAGCTTCTGTGCAGTTTAAATATTAAACCAGTGGTTTTTGGCCATATTAGTGTATCGTTTGAATTATCATTTACTTATTTAAATCATCACTTTTTAAAAAAATGCATTTATTTTAAAAAGAAACTTCACACCACCGTGGTAAGCAGAAAACCCATATCATTTGCCATAAATAGAATATAACTATAAAAATAAGTGCACTAAAAATAAAACAATGCTATTCAATTGTAGCTGGATCCCATGGCCTGTAAAGGCAATCCGAGTCCCTCTTTCTTGATCAAAAAGAGAGACTACATGTGTTAGTGAGAATTTAAAGCAACTAACTTTTTTCTTGATCTAACAAGAAGGAGTGAAAGAGAATTAAAAATTAGTCTGTGATTCCTTGTCGCTCAGTTTCCTGCCTCAGTGCTATCCTGCACTTTGGGAACTCTGCTTTAAACATCAGTGATTAGAAAAGTCACCAACACCATTCACCCAACGTGGTCACCACGTGCTCAGACATCTCTGTGTATGAACATACACAGAATCACTACCCTCCAGAGAAGCAGCCTGCAAAGAGCTCGTACAGTTAAATTTTTTTCATAGCTACTAAAGATTTTAATTCTGCTATCCATAGAACATACTTTAAATTCTTAACAATGTTAACCGTTTCTTATTTGCCATAGAATCTAAGAGAATAGTATACTGTGTAATGAAGTTCTGAATTTGAATACATTTTCTTTCAGATGTTTACTGGTTTTCCTTTCATGCCTTTAATGTTTTAAAAGAATTTTCAATAGGAACCTGAATAGTTGACATTTTACATATCATTTAAAAATTTTGTTATATACACTTTTGTGTAGTTATTTTGAAATGCTTGCTTTTTTTTGGCCAAAGTTGGTTATTCCCCCAAGGTTAAGCTCTGTTTTTGTGGAACCTATCATATAGTTTTATTCCTGCTGTACTACATAAAGGCAATTAGGAGCAGACAGCGAGATACATCTGACTCCTTGGGTAAATGCACTATTTGCTGGGGCTAGTGATTCTCGTTTCTTTCTTGAAAGCCGTGTTTAATTCACATATAAAAGCAACTCAAGTTAATTAAAATCAGCCTGTAGAACTCCATCATCATGATGTGAAGATTGTGATGAGAAGTGTTGTATGAGCTTTGTTTGAATTATTTCATTTAATCCCCACGGCAACTTGGTGAAGTAAGTTCTATTATCCTGATTTTAAAGATGAAGGAACTGAGGCAGCTAGAAGGTGATGGAGCCACGATTTGAAGCCAGACCCCAGAGCCTCTCTCTTCATGCTTCTACTTCGTTCCTTCAAAGATTGGAGGTTCCATAGCATGCCACAGGCTTGGAGTCATAGAGTATGCGTAGAGTGTATTTTCTATATGATGATAGAATTGAAAAGCCAATAATTTTTAAATTCTTGGACTCTCCAGGAAAAAGACTTCGACCTGGTGGAGCACCGTGGCAGGTTGCCTCAGTGTGGGAAGTCCTATGTACTTCCGTTCAGGTGCTCAGGAATTCGGAGAACCAGGATGGTGGAAACTTGTTCACAACAAGCCCCCGACAATGAAACCTGAAGGAGAGAAGCTGTCTGCCTCTACTTTGAAAGTAAAAGGTACCGTCGTGAGAACAGTACAAGAGGTGCTAGCCAGACCAAAGTCCAGCAAGTGCGGGCTTGGGAGACCATCCGGCTTTCACCAGGCGTAGCTCTTCTGCCTCTCTGGAGCTGCTCTGCTTGGCAGTTGTATTATGGTACTTTTTGTATGCCATAAATAAATATTATATAAAAAATATTTTATCATTTCCTAATCAAGTTACCAGTTTTATAAATTTCCTTTGGTACCTGAAAGGTTCTCTATTTTCAATCTGATTTTTTTTTTAAACTTTTTATTGTGGAAAATTTTAACCATAGACACATGTGAAGAGAGTAATATAATGAATCCCCATGTACCTTTCACCTCATTTCATCAGTTGACTCCTGCCAGTCTCCTTTTATCTAGACCCCTGGGTACTTTCCCGCAACCCTCCACCCATCCCTACCCTTAGATTATTTAGAAGCAAATCCCAGGCATCAACATTTCATTCTTAAATATTTCAATATGTATTTCTAAGAGATAAAGACTTCTCTTTTTTGTAGCCTAACCATAATGCCATTTTCACACTGAAAAAAAATTAACAGTAACTTACTGTCGCAGGTTGATCTGATTTTTGTATCCAAAAAGTTTTTAATGAGCTTTTACATTTCGAAAAATATAATCGTGAACAAATCAAATAGTGTTGAAGTGTATAAAGTCTGAAAGTTCCCCCTGCACCCACCCTGCCTGCAATTTCACTCTCCAGAGTAGCCACTGTTGTCTCTTGTGAATGCTTTTAGAAATGATCCCTGCATATTGAAGCTTTTTCTTATTTAAATAAATAAATAAATAAATGGACTTGTTCTCCGTGTTTTCCCCCCACTTGCCAGGATACCTTGGGCATCTTTCCATAACAGCACATGTGGATCCACCCTATTTTCTTTTATTTCATTGCATTCCATTGAATGGCTATACGATAATTTATTAAACCATTCCCCTGTTGATGGACATTTTATTTATTTCTACCCTTTTTTGGTGGTTGTTATTTTAAACGATACTGTAATTGTACACATTTGTGTACCTGGGCAAATTTTTTGTGATAAATTTCTGGAAACAGGTTGCTCTATCAAAGGGCATGTTCATTCAGAATTTTAATTGTTATTTCCAAATTACCCTCCAAAAAGTTGTAATAAAATTTTTGTCCTACGAAAAAGGCATGAAAATGTTCATTTCCCCATATGCTTGCTGAGCGTTAATCAAACATTTAATGTTTACCAGTCCCGATAGGTGAAAGATAGTATTTAGTTGTTTAAATTTGCATTATAATTCCTTTTATCTTGTTAAGAGATATCTAAGTCTTACTTTAGGGCATTCATTGAACATTTCTCTATTTTGAACATGGTAGTAGGTTCACAATAATAAGTTATCAAAAGCAACTAAAGTTGAATTAGTTATTTAAAAATTTAGATATTTATTTTTTCCTAACAGCCTCAAAACCAACTTTAGATCCCATCATTACTGTTGAGGGACTTAGAAAACGGGCGAGTCGGAATCCTGTGGAATCTGCCATGGAATTGAAAGAGAAGAGGTCTCGCACTCAGGAAGCGAAAGACATTAGAAGAGCCCAGAAGGAAGCGGCTGGCTTTCTTGACAGGAGCACATCTTCGACCCCTGTGAAGTTCATAAGCCGAGGCCGCAGGCCAGACGTGATTCTAGAAAAAGGAGAAGTGATTGACTTTTCATCCTTGAGCTCCTCTGATCGCACCCCGCTCACGAGCCCATCTCCTTCTCCGTCTCTGGATTTCTCTGCCCCTGGGACCCCTGCCTCCCACTCAGCCACACCCAGCTTGCTTTCAGAAGCAGATCTGATTCCAGATGTGATGCCCCCACAAGCCTTGTTTCACGGTAAGACATAGCTTTCTTGGGTCTTTTATTTTATGTGTGGCCCATGATACAAATGTGTATGTTTTCACCTTGTGGGCGGTGTGCTCTGCATTTTTTCTTTCCTGTTTTATACTTTGCACAGATGATGATGAGATGGAAGGCGATGGAGTCATAGACCCAGGGATGGAGTATGTTCCACCCCCTGCTGGGTCAGCAGCTTCTGGGACAGTGGTCGGGGGCAGAAAGAAGGTCAGAGCACCCGAACAGATAAAGCAGGAGGTCGAGAGTGAGGAGGAAAAACCTGACAGGATGGACATTGACAGCGAAGACACGGATTCCAACACATCTTTGCAAACAAGGGCTCGAGAGAAGAGGAAGCCTCAACTGGACAAGGACAGGAAACCTAAAGGGCCCAAGTACACCCCTGTGAGCATCTACGAGGAGAAGCTGCTCCTGAAGAGGCTGGAAGCTTGTCCCAGTGCTGTTGCCATGACACCAGAAGCTCGGAGACTAAAGCGGAAATTGATTGTCAGACAAGCAAAAAGGGATAGGGGATTACCACTTTTTGACTTGGATCAAGTTGTTAATGCTGCTCTTCTGTTAGTTGATGGGATTTATGGAGCCAAAGAAGGAGGAGTTTCCCGGCTTCCAGCTGGCCAGGCCACATACAGAACAACCTGTCAGGACTTTAGAATCCTTGACCGATACCAGGTGAGTGTTAGCACATGCTCTCAACCTCTTGGGGGCAGGAGTGGAGGTGGGGCTGGCATCACCCTGCAGTGGACGTTTAAAATTCTGAGTAATTTTGGGAGAGAGAAGAAAATAGCAAGGGAGAAAAATACAAAAATTGCTGGGCTTTATTTTTTGAAATTGTTCAATATTACTACATCTGGGTTTGTTTGGATTTTTCCCTTTGGGCATTTAAGACAGAACCTAGACATTTTCTTTGTATCTTTTAGTCCCCGAGGGTTGCTTTACATAGTTTGTGTACAGGTTTGTGTAGCTTTAATTGACAGATTTGTTGAGGACGTGCAGTGTACCAGACCCCGTGCTGAGTAGGATCTGAAGACATGTAAACCTCTATGTAGTTAGGAGACACCATGTAGAAATAGTAGCCAGGGGATCAGTGTGGTGTCAGCATTGCTCAAAAGATATTCAGTGGAACCCAGGTCTATGAGTGTTCCTGGGAACAAGTAATTCCACTCAGAACTGCCAGAACACACCTTCCCACTGCGGGAATGAGAGGTCTTATTTCCCTATATCTTTGCTAGCACTTGCTGCTAACCAGCCTTTAGCTGATTTTGCTAATCTGGCAGCTATAAAGTGAAATCTTGTTTTTTATTTACATTTCTTTGATTACAGGTGAGGTTAAACATTTTTCATATTTCCTGGTTGTTTCTCTGTGAATTGCCTATTTGGAGTCTTTGCACCTTTTTCTATCCTCCCCTTCATTGGAAACTCGTGAGCTCTTGTGTTTATTGCCAGAGTTCTGATATTATTCAGTGATGTACCACGTGTGGGGCTTTTTCATATCTTGTATTTTCTCTGTTCTGTCTTTTTAGAGCACCGCTATTATTTGGCTGTTGGACCCTCTAGACCAGGGACAGAATTTTTCTGTAAAGGGTCAGATAGTAAATAGTTTGCAGGCCACACAGTTCTCAGGTCTGCTGTTCCAGTGTGAAAGCAGCATAGATAAGACATAATGAATGGGCATGGCTGTGTTCCAGTAACACTTTATTTACTAAAACAGGCTGGATTTGGCCTGTGGGCTATAGCTTGTGGATGACCGTTTGTCTAGATGAATCCCCTTAATTCTCTTTTTTTCTCCTATTTCCCATCTTTCCTTTCTTGAGAAGTAGTAACCTGCCTACCTGCATCCTAAGAACCAAGTGAGGAGGGCCAGGAGCTGACCAATCAGCTGGTAGACTTCCACTGAGTCTCCCTGTTTTCAGGACAGTACTCCCATCCGTGGCTGTATCAGGTGCCTCTGTGTCCAGAATCTCTCTTTTGAGCCTCTAGAGAGTCTGCTCTTGTGCCCATGAGAGAAAAATCATTTCTGGATGTGGGCAGTGGGGGTGTTACTGGAGCCCTTACCCTTTTAAGTGAAGAGACTCTCAATCCATAGTCTTCCTGCCCGTTGCTCACCTTTAGCAGGACCTGATGTCTCCCATTGTTGTACTTCTCTGAGCCTCTGGCCTGTAAGTCCCCTGGCTCCTGGCCTGTCTTCACTGCTGCCTTAGGTTTTGGCTCCCTTTGGTCTAAGTCATTTGCCACTTGTTCATATGATTTTGTTGCAGTCATCTGTTCTTTGTTCTCATGGGTTTGTCTCTTTAATCCCTGTATTCAACTTTTAAATTATGAAAAGCTTCATACCCATACAAGAATGAATAGAACATATGGATATAGTTTAAAGGTTAGTGAGATAAATACCTATGAATCTAGCTCCTGGGTTAAGAAACAGCATTACAAACACCTTAGAAGTCCTTCTGCACACTGTCTGCTCTCCGCAGAGGGAGCCAGTCTCTGACTTTCGGTGTTAATCATTCCTCTGCATTTTTTAATGTCTTTATCCTGAAATAATATACTTTTAGTTAACAAAAAAAAAAAAAGCCAAAAACTAAGTAGGAAGCACAAATGGAGCTCTGTAAGGAAATTGCCACTATTAGATGAAGGCTTCCAGGAGAAGATAAGCTAAACGGTTTTTGTGGGTCATTGTTGTAGATTGAATTATGCCCCTAAAAGGATTTATGGAGGTCCTAACCACTGGTACCTGTGAATGTGACCTTCTTTGGAAGTAGGGCCTTTGCAGATGTAATTAATTCAGATGAGGTCATACTGGAGCAGGGTGGGGCCTTAATCTGACATGACTGATATCCTTATGAGAAGAGACACAGAGACACACAGGAGAGAAGCCATGTGATGACTGAGGCAGAGATTAGAATGATGTGTCTACAAGCTAGGAGACACCACTTGTCTGTCTCCAATTGAGGGGGCAGTGGTTTGCCCTGTGACCTCACTTCTCTGATACATCTAAGAAAAGTTGTTGGCTTTCAGTTTGTTCAACTTTTTACTTGTTGTTAGGATGGAAGGATGACTTCTAAGCTGCTTACATGCCAGACCGGAAACTGGAAGTCCTCTTATGCTTCTTTAATTTGGGGAATTCCTCATCATTGCTTCTTTAAATACATTCCTCCTTTATTCTTTTCCTCGCTTTCTGGACTCCCAGTACAGATGTTGACACCATTACTTCTTTTCTTTATCGCTTCCTTTGATTTTTTTGGAAGAGACCTGTCCTTAACATCATTTGTTGAGTGCTTTATTTCAGTGATCATGTATTTAATATCTGGTGACAAATAAGAGATGCTTCGTAACTACCTATTCTTGTTTCCAGCTCCCTCATTATCTTGCAGCCTATTTATTACGCTTTTTGGTTTTGTTTTTTTTAGTAACAACTTTACTGAGACACAATGCACGTACCATACAAGTCACCCATTTAGAGTGTTCAATTCAGTAGTTTCCAGTATATTCACAGAGTTGTGTAACCATCACCATAATCAGTTTTAGAACATTTTCCTCACCCTAAAAAGAAACCCTGAACTCTTTCGCTGTCATTGTTCAACCTTCCACACCCACCCCCATTAATCTACTTTCTGTCTCCATAGATTTGCCTGTTCTGGATATTTTACGTAAATGGAATCCCATAAGATGTGGTCTTCTTTCACTTAGCATTAACTTTTTCAAGATTCATCCATTGTGGCATATGTTAGTATTGCATTCCTTTTTATGGCTGAATAGTACTCCATTGTATGGATATACCACATTTTGTTTATTCATCGGTTGATGGACGTTTGGGTTGTTTCCACCTTTTGGCTATTATGAATAATGCTGCTATAAACATAGGTGTACAAGTTTTTGTGTGGACATGTGTTTTCATTTCTCTTGGGTGTATACCTTAGAGTGGGATTGCCTGGCCAAATGGTAACATATATTTACCTTTTTGAAGAACTGCCAGACTGTTTTCCAGAATGGCTGCACCATTTTATATTCCCACCAGCAGTGTATGAAGATTTTGATTTCTCCACACATCCTTACCAATACCTGTTATTATCTGCCTTTTTGATCATAGCCATCTTAGTGAGTGTCAAGTGGAAAATCATTGTAGTTTTGATTTGCATTTCCCTGATGACTATTGTGCTTTTTAAAAATTCTGTCTGGTAAATTAATTCTGTCTTTTCTGATATGGTTTGTTTATTTTGTAATCTTTCTTTTGTTTTGCACTCTTTATTTACATGTCTTGAATTTTTTCCCTGTGACGCATATTCCCTTGGTCTTATCAGCTGCTTTTGCTGGTTATACACACCTGGAGCTAGGGGCAAAAACCTGGGTCCTAGCTTGTCACCCTCTTGACAGGTTTTGTAAAATGGGAGGCTCTGGACTCAACCACTTCCCATCTTCACCTTTTTCCACAATCAGGCAACTTAGCTCTCAGGGAACCTCCTGGGACATCTGGCCCAGGTGCTACTTTTTACCTCCCTCTGCTCTTATTGCCTGGGGTCATGGAATGCTCAGGGACTGTCCCATGGGATCTACCCTCCACCTCAGGAAGGCTCCAGCACTCTCTAACATCACCCCTCTGGCTGACACTTGCTGGCAAGGTTGACCTACCCAGAGCAAAGCTTGGGAGAGGTAGTGGCCTAACCAGGAACTTCCTCCATCCCCATCGGTGGGGCACAGCCTGTGTCTGCCCTAGGCTACCCTTTGCCACCTCATCTGTACCCAGTCACCTCTGATTTCTCACAGCCTTGTGTTCCATCTTCCCTCTCACTTTTGTGGCGTCTCCCAAGTTGGGTTTGAGGAAGGGACACAGCAGCCCACCTAGCTCTCCATTTTATTTAGAACTGGAAGTTTGAATAAATGCATTTAACATTTTCCAAACTTATTTGACTTTGGGGCACTTTTTTCCCCACCATTTGGTCATTCAACAAACATAAATTGAGTACTTCATATGTGCCAAACACTATTCTGGCTGGCGATACTGCAGTGAATTAAGACAGAGAAGGTCTCCGCCCTCTGGAGCTGACATCTGTGAGCAGGGAGATGACAGTCCTGACTCACTAAACAGGATCACTTCCTACAGGGTGAGTGCTGCAGTGGAGTGGAGGAGCAGAGGGCGGTGGCATCACTTTTGATGGGGTAGTTTAGGACAGCCTTTCTGTGGAGGTAACACTTGAACTAAGTCCTAATCCACAAGGAGGAGCAGGCTGCAGAAGCTTCAGGGCAGAAGTCCTGGACGCAGGCCCTAAGCCAGCAGTTAGTTTGCTGTATGGGGCTGGAACATGTTGATGGTGGGAGCTGAGACCACAGAGGTAACAGGGGCCAGATCCAGTGCGTCACAGGTAAGGAGTTTGAATTGTGTTCTGAACATACAGTGGAAAACCACACTGGAGTTTCCATCAAGGGAGGTGAATCTGTTAGTTTCTAGAAGAAGAACCTGGCTCTGTGCGGAGACTGGATGGTATGAGGTGAGAGTGGCAGCAGGGACACGAATAGGAGGCAGTGATTGTGGTCCAGGCAGATGCTGAGGGTGGTTTAGACTAGGGAGAAAGCAGTCGTGATGGAAAGAAGTTGGGGTGCTGTATAACATCTATAGAGTTCCACAGAACTCATCTTGAGACATTAACCAGAGAGTATTTCATAGGCTGGTGGTTTGGTGGCTGGTGTTTCAGTTATCTGTTGCTGCATTACAAACCATCCCAAAACTTAGTGGCTTAAAATAATAGCTATTTAATATTTCTTCTGATTCTTGGGTTGACCGGGCTCAACTAGGTGGGTCTTCTGTGGCTGCATTCAGCTGGGAGTTGTGTCAGGGGTGGAATGACCAGATTGGCCTCTCTTCCTCCAGAGTCTGTCTCCATGTGGCCAGTAGTCATTCAGTGGTCTAGCCTGGACACTGTGGCCGCTGGATTCGAAAAGGGAGAATGTGGAAACCGCCAGTCCTCTTAAGGTCTGGGCTCAAAAGTCCCAGAATGTTACTTCTGCCACTTTCTGATTGGTCAAAGCCTGTCACAAGGCCTGCCCAGATTCAGGGGGAGGGGAAATTGACTCTGCCTTCTGATATGAGGAGCCACATATACCCACAGGCACAGGAGGAAGTGTTGGGGCCATATTTGGAAACTGTATACCACAGCTTTGAATTTCACTTTGAAACTTATTTTAAAGTCCTGGAAGATTTTCACAATTGGCCTTTGAAAGTTTTGATGTCCTGTTTGGGAATGTAATGAGAGCAAATGATAAAAGAAGGAATTCTTGCTCTTTTTCCAACAAGGTTATTTTCTAGGCTAAGAGCAAACTGATTCTACAAAAACAACTCAGGTTTCTAAACTTCATCCAGCCCTTGGCAAACCACTTCATAAATGTGCCTTTTAATCTTCCCTCTGAGCTCTTTGCTATAAAACCCTAATTGCACATGTTGTGTTACTGCATGACTGGGGGCCCTGGAGGAGCACTCGCTGAAGAACAGGCGTCTCCACTTGGGCTCCCGGGGTGAGTCCCGCCGTCTGTCAGGACACCCGCCACATCTTCACTGAACCTCTGGTGGAGCCTCTCTGCCAGCATGATTTGTTTTAGGATGATAATCTACAGCAGTCCTACTTCTGTCAAATTTACTCCTTAGAATAGAGACATGTGTTAATAAATCCATATACAGGTACAGCAATTTTTGGGCCCTGTGCCTCTTTGGATAACAGAGACTACTCAGAAAACATGACCCGGGGGTGTTACCTAATTGACACTAATGCTGGTTAATATTTGATGAAGGGATTAAAGGTGTAATATAGACAAAATGAAACTTAGAGAACCTGTAAATCCAGTGCTCAATCCTGCATTTCACTTGCTTAAGTGACTTTTTAAATTTTTAAGTAACTTTAAAATTTTAAAAATTATTTTGATTTTAGACTTACAACTGGGATTAGCTTTCCATATCTAATTTTGTGCAAAGATACCTATGGAGTTTGTATTGAAACTTGACCTTCCCAAATAAGTAACGTAAAAAGACCTACTTTCTGACACACAAAAATGTTGTAAGTACTTAATGATCTGTGGAAATTAAACCAATCCTTTGAGTAAATTTGTTTTTCTATAACCAGTGTTTCTTTCTCATAGACGGCCTTGCCGTCCAGGAAAGGATTTCGACACCAGACCACTAAGTTTTTGTATCGTTTGGTGGGATCGGAAGACATGGCTGTGGACCAGAGTATTGTCAGCCCTTACACTTCTCGGATCTTAAAGCCTTACATTAGGTATATGGAGAAGAGCCATGATGTCGAGGTGTTGTGAGCAGTAGCGTTTGTGGTTTCTGTGCCCCATTCCCCTGTTGGAGTGAATAAAGACCCAAACCTGTGAGCAGACGTCAGCAAAGACTGAGGCTCTGCTCCACGTCCACTGTCACCCTTGGCTTGTTTCAGCTGTACTTTTTTGCAGAAAGGATGGTCCTTTGAAAGAAACATAAAAAGAAAGGATAAATTAACGCTGTTAGATTTCATTTTGATTGTCATACTCATTGTTTAGTTTTAATTTTTTTTGTGTGTGTGTGAGGAAGATTGGCCCTGAGCTAACATCCGTGCCAATCTTCCTCTGTTTTGTGTGTGGGACACCGCCACAGCGTGGCTTGATGAGTGGTGTGTAGGTCTGCACCCGGGATCCAAACCTACGAACTCCGGGCTGCCAAAGTGGAGCGCGAGAACTTAACCACTACACCACTGGGCTGGCCCCCTGTTTTAAATTTTGAAGTTGTATATATGTAGTAGTCTATGAAATGAAAATATGGGAGGGACGTCTCAATTGGGTGTCAAGGCAGTGCCACATGGCTGAGCTGACTAGAGAGGCCCCCAGTGCTGTCCTGTGCTGTGATTGAGAGAGCCCCTTGTCTTTGTTGACTGTGCTTGCTCTGAGCTGCATGATCGCGTGATCCTCCTTGCCCAGCACTGCCCCCTGGCAGACACGTGGAGAGGCAGTCTACGAGCCTGCTCTAGCTCCCCTTGTCTCTGGTGCCCCTCAGCTGCCCTGGGAGGGTTGGGCCTTCCCTCCCCTGGGCTGCCTGGGTCGGAGCACTCAGAGGGCTGAATTAGGGTGCTGTTTCTGCTCCCTCACTCTGTCAGGCTCACCAGCGCTAGAGGTCCTGAGGGTACAGAGGGATTTGCTCTGATGAATATTAGTAGAGTGGATTTTAAACTTCATACCAGAAAAGCATTGTAGCTGTTATCAAGCTAGATGCCATATAAAGTAACACAAATTAGTTTAAAATTTCAAGCAGATTAAAGAGTTTGTGAATCAAATCGCTGGGAATAATAATGGGTATTTTTCTTGACTTGAATTTGTTTATTTTCTGTGGCACTGGAGGCGTGATTATGAAACAAAGCCACCCAAACTGCAGCTCCTGTTGCAGATTCGTTCTCACCTGCACAGGAGTGACCCTCACTGGACGCCGGAGCCGGAGGCACCTCTCGATTACTGCTACGTGCGGCCAAACCACATCCCAACGATTAATTCAATGTGTCAGGAGTTTTTCTGGCCTGGTATGTTTCCCCCTCCCAAACTGGGCAGATCAGTTTGCTGTATAGTTCACTTCTGTAACTTTTTAAATTAGTGTATGTCATGGGACCCTAAAGCCTTTACTGGTATGATTTTGTTCAGTTTGTCTCTCCTAACATAGAGATGTTAAAATATGAACACCTCTTTCTTTCCTAAGATCAGGAAGAAGTTAGCAATTAAAGTAATAAACAGTGTTTTTGTTTGTTTCTCTTCCCTGTTTGTCTCTGCGTCCAGAATAAAAGATTCATCCTGTTTTGCTTCTACATATGTTTAGATACCAAGTAATGTCTGTCGAAGAAACACAGACTGGTAGCTGGGGCGTGTTTGGACACTTGATTTTTGCTTAATAATTCCATATGCTTTGTTTATTTAGCTGTTCCTTAGACAGTGTTGGTATAGTGAAAAGGTGTTTTTAAAAAGCTAAATACCCTAATCATAGACTTTGAAAATAAGAGTAAATGCAATATCATTTGTCATTTTATCCGCCTTAACATACTGTCTCTGAAGACCGAAGCCATCAATTAAAGGAACACATTTTCATTGCTAAATATAAACACGTCCTTTGTGGATCTGCTTTACCGCTCTGCTTTGAAATGTGAAGGAAATAATACCTGTCTTGCAGAAGTTAGATAAGGTTTCATCAGGATGAGGTCTGTGTCTTCCCTGTTGTCTGGCAATCATGTGATAGTGCGTGTGGTGGCAGAGTTGTGCCCCTTCTTTTGGGAGTGGTATGGGGGCTGAAAGGAACATCCTGGGAGCATCTGCTACCTCCTGCCCTTATGCTGGGTGCCCTCCATACATTATGCATGGAATCATTTTATATTTAACCTCTTTATTGTAAAAGGTAGCATTTGCACAAAAGAGCTTATGAATTGTCTATGTGCGAAGTAAAGAATACAACGAGATGGACACTTTTTTTTTTGTGAGGAAGATCAGCACTGAGCTAACATCTGATGACAATCCTCCTCTTTTTGCTGAGGAAGACTGGCCCTGAGCTAACATCCGTGCCCATCTTCCTCTACTTTATATGGGACGCCACCACAGCATGGTTCTACAAGCAGTGTGTCGTTGCGCGCCCGGGATCTGAACCGGTGCACGCCGGGCCGCCGCAGTGGAGCATGCGCACTTAACCACTTGCGCCACTGGGCCAGCCCCTGAGATGGACTCTCTTAGGGGATCTTTACCCCAGCTCTGTCAGGTCTAGGTATGCTCTCATCTTACACATTGCAGAAGCAGGCCAAGACATTTACAAATGTGCCAGCTGACACACGTGACAGAGGAGGCTGAGTTCAAAGCCAGGTGTGTCCAGTTCTGAACCTGTGTGCTCTCTACTACCCACCCTCTCCTGCCTCTCTTCTTTTAACATATGTACTTAGAAAAGACGATGTTAATATTGATATTTTTCAAAATTCACTTTTATTTTTATGATCTGAGTATGTGGTGTCTATGGTAATATCTTTGTCTCCAGTTTTGGGTTTTTTTTTAGCGTGCAGGTGTAGCTGTAAGTACAGACTGAACAGCTTGGCATTCATTAATTCCAAAAGGTACATGGTTTGAGTCTGCGATTGTCTCTCTTCTTTAGGCATTGACCTGTCTGAGTGCCTGCAGTATCCAGACTTCAGTGTTGTCGTCCTTTATAAAAAAGTCATCATCGCCTTTGGCTTCATGGTTCCTGACGTGAAGTACAATGAAGCTTACATTTCATTTCTGTTTGTCCATCCCGAATGGAGAAGAGCAGGGATTGCGACTTTCATGATTTACCATCTGATTCAGGTATGTTGTCTGTGCTCATCATCTAGCGACTTGCCCTGGGCTTCCCTGGAAGTTGTGGAGGAGGATGACCTCCACAACAGGTGCGTGGCCCAGTGGGACGGGAAACCTGTGAGAGAAAGCCAGTCACCATCGTTGATGAGGGCAGTCAAACACACAGACAGAAATCCTCACCCTCTAAAATAACATTACTGCTCAGACCCAGGTTTCAGAGAAGCTAGTTTGTGAACATGTGTAGTAAATAAAATGAGAAGACACCAAAAGTGAGAGCCTAAAGCCCTGGCACTGTCCTTATCAGTAACTGCTGCTCTCAGAATCACGGCCGCCACGCCTCTAAGAAGTGGAAATGGAACTATGATTTTTAGTTTTTATGTATTTTTAAACATTTTAGCAAAAGCGTGTCAATCAGTATGTGCATTCTATTGTTGCTGATTGTTTTTAATGTTATTATCGCTGTATGAGCTGGTATGAACCTTCCAAGATTTGATTCTAATATTGAATTATAATTCATCTGTGATATATCTGTATCACCTTTGAAGAAAATATGTCGTATATTTATATAATAACATCAGAAAAACATGCAAAGATTTTTCTTTTCTCCAGAATTTTTCTGGTAATTTTTATTTAGAAACCGTTTGGTATGAAGGATTGTGTGTTATGTGGGCAAGATTCCTTTTAAATAGAGGATGGAGGGCCTGCCCGGTGGCATAGCGGTTAAGTGTGCACGCTCTGCCATGGAGGCCTGAGGTTCGGATCCCGGGCGTGCAGTGATGCTCCGCTTATCAAGCGATGCTGTGGCGGCGTCCCATATAAAGTGGAGGAAGATGGGCATGGATGTTAGCCCAGGGCCAGTCTTCCTCAGCAAAAAGAGGAGGATTGGTGACAGATGTTAGCTCAGGGCCAATCTTTCTCACCAAAAAAATAAAATAATAATAAATAAATAGAGGATGGAGATGATAAAATGTTGTTTTTCCAGTTTTTAATAATTCCCAAATGTTGGCAGGAACTTTGAGAATCGTCTTCCTAGAAATTGCTTTCTTTGCTCCTCTGTTGGCAGTTAATACGTGCTACCTTGTGTTGTCTTCGACTGAGACCTTCTCAGTTTTTTCTGTCACACTCCTCCTTTTCTCTGGCCCACCCTACTCACAGAATGACCTCTCCTCTGTGTGCATCCTTCCGTCCTAGGAGAACCACACAGGAATCTGCCTATTCCTCACCGGCAAGGGCCTGAGGGCAGGGCAGGGATGATGTCTTGATGTGTGTGCCTGACATAGGACCTGGCACCCTCAGTCCCTACTGAGTGTTCACATTCACAGGGTGGGGGGAGGAAGGTTCATCTTTGTCTACCCCCAGCCAGACCATAAACCCAGACACAGTACTGCTCAGTCAGGCAGGGTGCTCGGTGATGGCCCTGGTTCGACTGTGCATGTTTGCAGTGTAAAGACACTAGTGTCACCCCACAAAATTCGTTTTATACACTTATAAGACACTCTTGTCTTTAGTAAAATAGTAGTTCTTTTTGTTCTAAAAATACCTTTGGATGCACAATGTGAGTTAAGCCAAGAAAAGAAGATAGCTGTCTACTTTTGACAGATGGGTTCTTTTTTTTTTTTTTAATAATTTTATTTATTTATTTTTTCCCCCAAAGCCCCTGTAGATAATTGTATGTCATAGCTGCACATCCTTCTAGTTGCTGTATATGGGACGCGGCCTCAGCATGGCCGGAGAAGCAGTGCGTCCGGGCCCGGGCTGCCAGCGGCGGAGCGCGCGCACTTAACCGCTAAGCCATGGGGCCGGCCCGACAGATGAGTTCTTAAATAGAGGCCTTGGGGAATCCTGATTATAAAATCTTAAGGACCTTGTCAACTTCAGTATTGCAGTGCCTTCCTCATTAAAGAGCAAGTTCTTAATTTGTGTGACTTTGGGGTACTTTATTGTGTGTAGCTAATTACAGAATCTAGGAACTTGCCTTATGCTGATAAAGTGATTATTACTCTTTTCCCCTAGGATTAGGCTAATGCTAAATACAGAAATCTCGGTTCTGAGAAGCTAATTCTGTCGGTTTGAGAGGGATGGGAGGTGGACTTTGGGATTCAGAAGGTCTATACAGGGTCTTCACATTTTATAATTAAGTGAAAGTCTTAATATTTCATATCTGGCCGCATAATTTAATATCTTTTCTAGTGGGTCTAGGAAGGGAATTTTTACAATTTCCTTGTAGGGTAACATCTAGCTTTTGAAAGCAGAACTTCTTATCTTGTTCTCAATTTCTTCAAGATGGTCATAGTGTTTGGTATTGATATATTTGATATATTTAAATGTAACTGAATTTAAATAATATAGTTGACAATAAAATATCCCCCTTGACCCTTTGCTTCAGTGAGGAAGAAAAAAGCACCGAGCATACCATCAATTTCCTCGGCCTTGGTGAATGTTTAGTGAATGTGTGATCGGCAGCAAAGTGCCGTTGGGTTCCCAGTGTGCCAGGTGCGGCAGTGTCCCAGCCTCAGTCTCTGATGATCCGGTTTCCATAACTGCCTACACTTGAAAGAGTCTCTCCACCTACTTGTTCTCCTTCAGGCGTTTTCATTTTCATCTTGTATTTTTCCGCTCTTTTGGCAGACCTGCATGGGCAAAGATGTAACCCTTCACGTCTCAGCAAGCAACCCCGCTATGCTGCTGTACCAGAAGTTTGGATTCAAGACTGAAGAATATGTCTTAGATTTTTATGATAAATATTACCCCTTGGAGAGTACAGAGTGTAAACATGCGTTCTTTCTGAGGCTCCGACGCTGAGGGGAATACAACTCTTCACAGAGAGAAGCATATGCTGTTAGAGAACAGATCTTCAGTAGACCTAAAGGTAGTTAGTTATTCATTGCACCATGGGTGTTAGTCTTCTCTGTAATTAGATGTTCATTCAAGCCTCTCAACTGAGATGAGAACAGCCGTGAGCGGTGGAATGAGTAGTGAGCAATCTTTCAGCAAAATCACAGTCCGGTCCTTTCTGGAGAGGCCTTTGACCCACCTCTTGGACTCCACAGTTACCTAACTGAAAGACGCTGCTGTCCTGCTTCCAAATGACAGTTCGTAAGAGCAAAGGAATATCTAAACTGATATTCTTGGTGAGAGAGAATCTGTCCTAATTTAAAAGATGAGATAATGTGATGGCTGTTAAAGATGCATGCAGTGCCTGAGAGGCACTCTCCTGTCCTGGGATGATGAGAAATTATGAGGTGATTATATAAGGGGATGCTAGCCCTTTTCCCAGCCTGGACATGTTGTCATTGAATCCAGGAGGACCTCTAGGACACTGAGGTTCTGTTGTCTCTTGCTGACGTTGGTCACAGTCAAAATAAACTAAATGTTTGCGTCTGCGCATCACTTCACCTGTTCTACTGTTAGCATATCCTGCCAGGGGCTTGGCCTGAGGGTGGAGGGTGTCCTCCTCCCCATGCCTGTGCAGTGTGTTTGGGGTTGGAGTAGCTGAGCAGCCTTCCATTTAGGTGGTGCCCCTGGATGGAGGTGTGTGGTGGTGGAAGGAGCGCTGGCTGTGGACAGAACCTGTAGGTCTGCAGGACTAGGCCGTTTGATGTGTCTGCGTGTGTTGGAGATGAACTCTCAGTCAGGTTTTTTTTGGATCCAGCAGGAGCATTTGCAAAAGGATCAGATGGTTCTCAAATAAAAATCTTTTCTTTAACAACCTATGGCCAGAGCATCAATCTAATCAATTTGCTTCCAAATTCTCTTTGATTAAGAGCAGTGGTTCTTAACTCTTTGGGACATGAATCCCTTTGAGAATCCAGAGAAAGCTGAATACTCTCTAGCAAGCTGTCCATGCACATTTAAGATTTTGCATCAGCGATCCATGGACCACGAGTTAAGAACCTCTGTTCTAGAGGCTGTACTTAGAGCCAGCTTGAATCCCTTTGTTCAAGGGGAATGTGAAGACAACCTGGAAGTTCTTCTGTCACTTGTCTCTATTAGCCGGGATCAGGGCTCCTGGGAGCCGAGGCTGCTATGCCTCACTTTTGTCCTCCCCAGCACTTGGGCTGGACACCCAGAGTCACTCAGTTGCCAAGTTCCCCAAAGCAGTGATGGCTTGCCTCCGCAGAAGAGTCCTCTGGACTCCTTATCGCCTTCCTCCCCTGCGGAGAGCTGAACTGGCACTTCCCAGCCTCGTCCTTCAAGGACCCCAACAGAGAGGGGGGGACCTCTCATGTCCTTTAAGGTTTAGGTTTATTAAATTACAAGGAGGTTGTATTCTACTCTTTAGGTATATCTATTTTAATGTTAAAATAATGGATTTTTTCACCCCAGAGCTGTAGGTAGAGTTGACACTCTAGGAAGATGGACACTCTGAGCCTCTGCACATACAAGCCCTCGGGTTTGTCATCCACAGTCTCATTCTTTTCCTCAGCAACAAATACTCCAGGGGTTCAAGACAGACTTATCTTCACTTTGAATGACACCTTATAATTCATGTCATTTTGAGAGAGAATTTTGAGATGAAGATGAGTGGCAGTTGAAAGCAAACATACTACTAGTATGTTCACACTTGGCTAAAATGTCTCATATTCCAGTTAAACTGCATATAGCTAAAAGCTAAATTAAATAAAAAGATATATCCAACAAAAGGCATTAGGCTCCAAGTGAGGTGAAAAGCAAAGGCCTGATCTTGGAAAAACAAGAATTGTTGGCAACTTGGGCCTGTGGGGCTTGAGCCGTAGGCAGTGGCCTCGTGTCCCTCAGCAGCTGCTTGCAACTGAGCAGCAGAACAGCACTCGGCGTTTCCAGAGCCAACGCTAGGTTGGGTCATGTGGGAACAGGAGAGTCCACAGGCATTGAGCGGACACGTACTAGGTGCTAAAAACAGGAAAGTACTGGCAGCTTCCATTTCCGGGCTCTTAATTCTCCCAACGACACCTTGAGGTGGTGCTATAATTGTCTCTATTTTATGGAAGAGAAAACTGAGTCTTGAGAGCTTGAGTAACTGTGTGCCCAGAGTGCACAGATAGAAAGCAGAGGACAGTCCGGGCTGGAACTGCCTCTGCGCCAGCCCCTCCTGTCTGCAGAGATGTGTGAAACGGAGGAGGAACTGTCCCGAGGCCAAAGGGTCCGTGGGTCCTGAATGGCGACCTGTGATTCGGAGCCAAGCTATTCACTTCCCACACGCTCCGCTGCTTTGACCTCTAACCTTCTGTGTGTGTGGACATTTCTTTGCTCGTCTCCCAGGTCAGGGAGAATAACCTGAGGTGGTTGTGTGCAAAGGCAAGTGTATGTGAGTGTGAATATTTTTCTGGGGAGGGTTCATCAGATGTTCAAGGGGGTGTGTGAGCCAAAAAGTAGTAACAAGCCCTATTCAGACTGGAGGGAGGAACTTTCTAGAGCCAGCTGGGTGATTGGGACAAAGGTTCAAAAGGAATGACTCACCAAACAAAGGTTAAAATGTTCTATTTTTAATTTTGACAATTTCAGGCTTGACAGAAAAGTTACAGAAGAGTACAAAGAATTCCCAGGTACCTTTCATCCTAGTACCCTAAATATTAATATTTGCCTCTCTCCTTACACGCGCTTGTGTGTACGTGCACACACACACTTTTTTCTGAACCATTTAAAAGTAAGTTGCAGATATCACGCCCCTTTTAATATTTTGGTGTAAATTTCTAAAAGCAAGGTATGTTCTTACCTAACCTCAGTACAGTGACCAAAATCTGGGAGGTTCACATTGATACCATGCTGTTATCTAATTCACAACCTAATTCAGATTTCAATGATCTCCTAATACTGCCCTTGATAGCAAAAGAAAATCAAGATCAGGTGTTGCATTCAGTTGTCATGCTTCTTTAGTCCCCTACAGTCAGGAACTGCTCTGAGTCTTTGTTAATGTAGACGTTTTTGAAGAGTGTTGGCTACTTGGTGTGCAGCGTGTCCCTGAACTTGGGGATATCTGCTGTTTCCTCCTGTGCAGAGTTCTGTTAGGCACTTTGGCAGGAATACCCTGGATATGATGCTGAGTTCCTCTCTGCACATCACTTAGAAAGCGCGTGCTGTTTATTAGTCCCATTTCCCATTTCAAAGTTAACTTTGAAACTCTGCAAATGAGTATTTTGTGGGGAGATTCACTGAGATGATGTAAATATCTTGTTGCTCCTCATCTTCCCACCACTGGTTTTAGCATCCCAACGATGGCGAGTTAGCCTTCTAGATTCTCATCTTCCTGAGGAAGCAGCTTTTAGAGCTGGGTCAGCAATGCCCAGTTCTTTGTGCTGCAGTTCACTGAGCACTGAGCTTTAATGAAAGCCCGAGGACATCAAGTAGGCTGTCTGCATCTGTCACCCTTCAGTAGAATTCTGACAAGTGCTCCTGCATTCCCACCACAGCTATAGGAGCGACCCAGCAGAGTGTCATGGGAAGGTGGAAGTACTTCAGCCTGGGGCGTTGCTCAGTGTGTGTTACAGGTTGTGCAACTCAACATTTACCAGAACTTTCTGATGATAAAGAGAATAAAGGATGTCTTGGTTACCTATTACTACATAAGAAACCACCACAAAATCTAGTGGCTCAAAACCATAGCAGTTTATTTTCTCTTGGGATTCTGAGAGTTTTCTGGATGGTTCTCTCCATTTGGTGCTGGCTGGGGCACTGGGGCAGCTGCCATCATCTGGGAGCTCAGCTGGGGCTGCTGGCCAGGGGTCTCAGTTCTCTTCCAGGTGGGCCTCTCCACGTGGCTGCTTGGACTGCCTCATGGCATGGTGGCTGGGTTCCAAGAAGGAGCATTCTTCCAGCAGTCCAGGAGGACACACCCCAGTTGCAGGTGCTCATCAAGCCTCTGCTTGCAGCATGCTTACTACTGACCCATTGGCCAGAGCCAGTCACAGGGCCAAGCCCCTAGTCCACGTGGCAGGACTTCCCAAGGGACAGATAGCAGGATATGTGGTTCATGAGTTCATGGTTCATGGTTCATACTTTTCACCGAAGTATAGCGCCATTATAGAAAAAGCATCTGAAGTTCTAACACCTAGTTGGCAGCTGCCCAGCTTGGAATAGTTCCCCTTTGGGGCATCTGGGCAGGCCATAGCTAGCGAATACCTCCTCCATGCTAGGAATTATAGTGAGGGTGCTGCAGTGCAGGAACTCTGGCGAGGCCATGGTTTTTGTTTTTGTTTGTGAGCCAGTCTAGAGAGGAATGGAATAGGAAAAGGTGAGACAGTCACAGACAGAATTGAGGTGAGGGCCCTCTCCCTGATGCCTGGCTGCAGTTCCTCCTCAGGATGTGGAAAGACCTCCCCTTTTACCCATCACATTCTTATAGTAAATTACCCCTTCCCCCTATTACAGTTTTACTGAGGTGTAATTTACATACTATAAAATTCGCCCATTTTAAGTGCACAATTCAGTGGTTTTTAGTAGATTTATAGAGTTGTGCAATTATCACCCAATTCACTTTTAGAATATAGGGCAAAAAAGATCCCTGGCACTCATTTGCAGTCAATCCCCACCCCTACCCCGAGCCCCAGCCCACCACTAATCTGTTTTCTGTCTCTATAGATTTGCTTTTTCTAGACATTACGTATCAAATGACCGTTTTTTGTTTTACCTCAAGTTGGCTTCTGTTACCGCTACCAAAGAGGTTTCTCTAACCCAGCAGAGCCAATCACTTGAGATATTTTGGTATAAATCATCCAAGGCTTTTGTTTTATGCACATGCACACGCCCTTGCATATACTAGTAATTTTTAAAATGAACTTCGATCATAGTATATATCACGATCTATAAGATATACAATTTTTTCCTATTTTTTCTTTTTTTTTTTTGTTAGGAAGATCAGCCCTGAGCTAACATCCATGCCAATCTTCCTCTTTTTGCTGAGGAAGACTGGCCCCGAGCTAACATCTATTGCCAATCCTCCTCCTTTTTCTCCCCAAAGCCCCAGTGGATAGTTGTATGTCGTAGTTGCACACCCTTCTAGTTGCTGTATGTGGGACGCGGCCTCAGCATGGCCGGAGAAGCGGTGAGTCGGTGCGCGCCCGGGATCCGAACCCTGGCCGCCAGTAGCGGAGCGTGCGTACTTAACCACTAAGCCACAGGGCCGGCCCCTCCTATTTTTTTCTTTAAGTAATCACAAACAGCATTCCAAATTATCAAATGTTGTTTTTAAAACATCATGTATGGTAGAACTGATTTTGTTATAAGAGTGTAGCATAATTTAACAAATATC